TTCATTACATTTGAGGTCTTGATGTATGTTTATGCAACATCTGTCAAGTTTCCCTCACTCATTAAATTTTTACATTAAGTTTCCGTGCGCTGTTGAAGTGGGATAGCGATAGTCAGTGTCTCATTTTGACATTAGTTTGGCTCGCTAAAAAACTCGTTATGATGTCATAAAAATGATGAAATCCTCGCACTCCAACTGTTTTGAAGTTAAACGCATAAATACTTATTTCTGCATACCACTTACGGTTACTTAAGTTCGACTATTTTCCCACAATTACTTTTGCACAAAGATTATGTTCGTCTTGATATTCATTCGAAGATAGTCTATCCATCCTATCATATCTGATTTATTTTGTGGTGAGACATGGTCACATCTGAATGTCTGATTTAGATGTATGCATCTGAATCAAGAAGGAAAATGTCATCTTGATTTGATTGGAATTTTTCAGATTATATCGCTCTAATTGAGTTATAATATCAACTAAATCATACGTCTGAGTCAAATTCCATAGGAACTTATATCTTACTTGTTTTGTTGTATTGCTGGGAAAAATAGAGCCAGAGAAATGATAAATAGAATAAACAGGATGACTAGAAATACTTATTGCGAACGAAACCAGAACATGCTATAATAACGATGTGAGAGATTTTTCCCTGGAATCTGATCTCTGTCAACTCCTACTCTTTTCATTTCACGCATTCTTCATTGTTTAATGTCAATAATTTATAAGACATTTGCATTTGTTTATTTCGGACTAGTAATCGTTTTTTTGCTTGTTTCACTCAAATCAAATTATTATTTTAGCAATCTTTTTTTATTTCTTTGCTTCTCTATAGTATAATAAACTATAATGACGAAACAGAGTGTAGTTATTGGGAAAGTTTCAGACCATTTGCTGATTTCACAACATAAATGACTGAAGAAGGTTACGAGGAACGCCTTATCAACGAAGAATATAAAATATGGAAGAAAAATACACCTTTTCTCTACGACATGGTATAATTTTTGAATTCTTTTTTGCTTTTTCTAGAAATTTAATAAAATTATTGGAGAAAATATGAGGATTTTTAACCTCTTATGTAAGGATTTTTTAAATAAGGCAAGAAATTCTGAAATCTTTGAAGGTGATGACACATGCGCTTGAATGGCCAAGCTTAACAGTACAGTGGCTCCCCGATGTACAAAGGTACGATTTTTAGTGATACTTTTTTTTCGCTGTGAGAGGTGAGAATTTTGCAGCATTTTTTGGAAATTGAGCTTGAGTCATTACTTTATAGATTAGAAGGAAGCGATTACACGACTCATCGCCTCATCCTAGGTACCCATACTTCGGATGAACAGAATCATTTGGTTATAGCAAAACTGTTGCTGCCTACTGATGATGCTCAGTTTGATGCTTCAAAATATGACACTGAAAAAGGCGGTACTTCTTAAATATTTTTTTATTGAATTGGAAAGTTTGGAAATCATACAGTTGGTAAAATGAGCTTGATATATTTGGATTATTTCAGAATTTGGTGGTTTCGGCTCCATAACAGGAAAAATTGATGTTGAAATTAAGATGAACCATGAAGGGGAGGTGAATCGTGCGCGCTACATGCCACAAAATCCAGTTTTACTGGCCACAAAGTCACCGAATAGCGAGGTATTTTTCTTTCCACATCTGTGCCTTTCTTGCTTTCTCTATTTGTAAAAAAAATTTGCAGTCTTTTGCACTTTACTAGTATTCTGCATTGTGCTATTAGTTAAGCCTGTCTGTAAAAGCGCCAAATTATTTGATTCACGTGATGTCTTTGATTTTTTTATAGACTTAAATCCTGAGTTTTGAATGAGTATTATTCAGGTTTTTATTTTCGACTATACAAAACATCCATCTATCCCGAATCCTACTGATAATGTTTGCAAGCCACAATTACGCTTACGTGGGCATACAAAGGAAGGTATCTTGTTCATCTTCGCTATCGTTTTTTGCTGGATTCATTTAGGTTTTTGCTTTTTCTCATTTCATTTCATACATTGTGAAATCATTTCTCTTAAGGTTATGGTTTATCATGGAATCCAAATTTACCTGGTCACTTACTTTCTGCTTCGGATGATATGACTGTGTGTTTGTGGGATGTTCAGGCAGCGACTGCTCAGTCAAACTTTCTTGATGCAAAAACGGTAAGCGCTGTTTATAATTAAATATGAGTAAAAGTTTTTAACGTCAATCGAATAGTATATCATTTTCGACTAGTTAACGGGGATAAAATGATAATTTAGAACATTATTTTTTTTCTAAGGAGACTAGTTATGATGGAGGTAGAAGAAAAATGAACCCAACATAATTAATCTCGCGCAATATTCTCTAAATTATCATTTTATCCCCGTTGTCATTGACACTGCCCTGATAGCTGAGGATATATTTCGTAATTTCTTTCATGCTTCAGCTTGAATATCTTACCATCATGTGAAAAGACTTATATGCTCCCTGTTACTACAGATATTTAACGGACATAATGCAGTCGTCGAGGATGTTGCATGGCATGTGCTTCACGAAGCGGTATTTGGTTCAGTAGGTGACGATCGTAAGCTGATGATTTGGGATACCCGTACAAACAGTTCGAATAAACCGAATCACACTGTTGATGCTCATTCAGCTGAAGTAAATTGCTTGTCCTTCAACCCGTATTCGGAATTTATATTGGCTACAGGCTCAGCTGACAAGGTTCTGCTTTTTTATTCTTTTTTTCAGCATCTCTTTTGCTTTCATTCAAGTCAAGGAAAAGCATACTTCAACAAAACATCATCTTAAACTCTGGTATTAAAACTACCTAATTATTTATCCCGATGCAGTGAACGCTGCATCGATCTTCGAAAAACATCATCGATATTGATTGTTATATCAATATGTGCTTATTTTTTTCAGACAGTTGCTTTGTGGGATTTGCGGAATCTGAAATTGAAATTGCATTCATTCGAGTCGCATAAGGATGAAATCTTCCAAGTCCAGTGGTCACCACACAACGAAACAATTCTGGCATCCTCCGGCACGGATCGACGACTTCATGTTTGGGATTTAAGTAAAATAGGTGAAGAACAATCACCGGAGGATGCTGAGGATGGTCCTGCAGAGTTGCTTTTTATACACGGTGGTCATACTGCTAAGGTATTTATTATTTTATCAAATTAATCTTTTACTTTTTCTAGAACTGTGTACCATTGTTAATTTCAAGTTTTCTCAGTTTCCCGTTGCTATTGGGAATTTATCATAACTTTGAAAGTTTCCGAATCATCACTGCTTTGTACTGATTAAATCCCATCTAAACTGTTTCGATGAATTGTGTCACTATGAAACTTTATAGTCAGAAGTTGGTTAAGATCCCCTCCATAATTAGAAATAAGTATAGTTCCGCTTGCGGGGTTATTTCGAATTTCACCGAAAAGTTGGTTTTGAAGTTTTGGACAAGTCTCACCTTGATAATGCATTTACAATAATGCAATGATATGATTAATTTGTCACCAATAAGTCAATAACATTTGTTTTGTCTTCATATTTTCTGGAGATAAACTTCTTCAGATCTCAGATTTCTCCTGGAATCCGAACGAACCGTGGGTTGTATGCTCTGTATCCGAGGATAATATCATGCAGATATGGCAGATGGCTGATAATATTTATAATGAAGAAGATACCGATACTCAAACTGATCAGATGGAGCGTTGAAATAAATGAGTTGTTGAACATTGTTTTACATTCGCTCAGTTATATTTTTGTTACAATGTGTTTCTTTACGTCTTGGTTCTACGAAAATGTTTCGAGTAACTAGAATATTGATTATCTGCTCGTCTCAAATGCAGTTTTGAGTTTTGTATTGTCGCTGTTTTCAAATCACTTCTGAATCATGGTTTTTAAATGACAAATACAAAATTAGCAGATATGACGGATTTTAGAATTAGCAAATAATATCGTAAATCAGCGAATATGATTATTTTCATATGTTTGAAAGAACATTACGTTTAATTCATCATTTAGAGAATACCGGAGTTTTCACTGAAGTTTTGAATGATTATTATCTTTGTTACTTTATTTATTCTTTTAAGGATTGATTTTTATATGTTCTACTTTTATCAAAGTTGGTTACATTGTCTTACAGTGAATTTGATTTTATACTATGTATTTCACTTGTTTAAATGAATTGAAAAACTTGTAAAGCGTATTGCATGCACTCATGCTAGACAATGATGAATGAATTCGATTAATATTTTTTCCAGAAGTTTTTATTTTTTTCTCAATGGGCATTTTCTCAAATCTGCTATTAATGAGAAGTCGCTGCCTGTCAATTTGCTAATGTTGATAAAAAGTTGTCTCTTTGATTTCAAAGCATGCTTTAATAACATACTTTTTTGGCGAAATCTTCAGGGGATGATGACAGTACCAAGTTTTTGTTTGATGAAAGTTAAGAAATGGGTAACAGGTAAGATTAACAGTATGTTCGTTGCACTACGATGCATTTTGTTTCGTGATATTTGGTCGATTTGATGACAGTGTCAAATCTTTGTAGTGTGAAGTATGCTATGAATTTGATGGTGGTAAGTGGATACTAGTATTCTTCGTTGATCGTGTTATCGTTCGAATTCCATTCATCTCCGTGTACAAATGTTTTCGAGATGATATTCATTATGCTTTTCAGGTTGTACTTGGATTACTTTGCTCTTAATCGATAATGGTAAGTATTTTAGAGATTTCTTGCATCATTGTTGTGTCGCATTATATTCAAACAGTATTAATTTTGTGATATTTGAATATTATAATATTTCAATATTTTCCTGTTAGGTTTATTCATTATCATTCTGTTAGTATTTTTTATATTTAACGTAAATGTAGTTTGTTATTTCACAGTGTAGTCTTCTGCAATGAATCATTATTGAATATGTTTAAAAAAATGAAAATAAGCAAATATGCATCTATTCATTCTGTAGAATTTGTTCTTCTTTCAAATTACATATTAGCTAACACGATTATGCTTAAGGCTCGAAATGCGGAAAAAGCTATGACTGCTCTAGCCCGATGGCGGCGAATGAAAGAAGAAGAGGAAAAAGGTCCAGTTGCGAAACGACCAAACGATGTGAACGAATGCAATACGCTAAGTAAGCACTATTTGAAGTAGCAGGTTTGATTCTTTAGAACAAAAATATTTTGAAAGAGCGAAAATTCATGTTTCTTAATCTAATTTTCTGTCTGCTTTACAGATGATGCAGAAAAATACAGAAAACAGGTGACGATGGAAATTGCCAAGAAAATAGCGCTGATACAAAATCCAGGCTTGGGTGAATTTAAAATTCGGGATTTAAATGATGAAATAAACAAATTGCTGCGAGTAAAATACGCTTGGGAAACAAGAATTAAAGAACTCGGAGGCCAAGATTACAGGTATATTTGTGTACTTTTGGAATACGTTTTTCTAAGAACAAATGTTCAAGGTGGAGTTTTTCCGTTAGTTATTTTATTTGATGACTGCATGCCAATTTGCCACTACTTTTGTAGGAAGATAGCGCCCAGGGAAATAGATCGAGAAGGACGTGAAGTTGCTGGTAGTAGAGGTTACAAATATTTTGGAGCTGCAAAAGATTTGCCTGGTGTTCGGGAACTTTTCGAAAAAGTTGGAATCGATGAATCACGGAAAAATCGTATGGAATTAATCAAATTTTTGGACGCGGATTATTATGGCTATATGGATGATGATGATGGTTTATTGGTACCGCTAGAAATGGATGCTGAAATCAAAGCTCGTTTACAAATCGAAAAGGTGTGAGACTTTTTTGTTTCTTTTGCGAGAAGATTTCTTTGACGTGCATTTAAATATTAATATGCAAAGCTTTACAAAAAGTTTTTTAGGATTGGGAAGGAAATAAAGATGCATTGAAACTAAAGGAAGCATTTGACGGAGATATCGATATATATAAAATTGATGATGTAAGTTACCTACGCATAAAATACGTATGAATTATTTAACATTATTTTGTGAAGTTGCTGCATTTATTATAATTGCTGTAATATATTTTATTTTGTCGTTAATTCGGAACTTCCTATACCATGAAACATTATTCTGCACCAACGTACATAATTTTTAATACTGCTGAGATATTTACACAGCGCAGCCATTCCATTTCAGCTTTGCTCTTAATATAATTTGAATATTTACTCATGTTTGATTTTTTTGATGTTTTCACTAATATGTTGTTGACTTGCTAACTTTTATAGGACTCTGACGAGGAAGACATTGACACGAAGCAATCTGTACTGATAAGCGATGATGGGAAGAAAACATTCATTCAACACGTTGTTGTGCCGTCACAAAAAGAAATTGAAAATCTCATTTTGGAAAGGAAGAAAGCACAACTTTTTAAGCAATATGTTGGGAGTCCATCGAGTTCATAATAATTATTATGTTGTTTTTTGCACCATATTCATGTTTCTTTGGACAATTCTAAAACAATAGATCACTGTGTAACGCTTTTTTATGGAGAATTTTTTCAAGAATATCGAATAGTTATAATCTTGTACAAGGAAATGATCCGTTCTCATTGAAAAATAGTTTTTTATCTGTCATGATTATGTTTCATTTTGTTTGTTTTTGAGTTTTGACATTTAATTTTCGTCTATTTTTAAATTACTCTTGAAAGTTAAGGAGTGTCTTAACCGGTGGTTTTGAAAAAAAATTGGCAGTTCGTCTTGGGCTTGAACTGTTTATGATAATTTTGTAATTTCCGGTTTTAGATTCTGGAATTCTTCATCAAACTATTTTATTAGTGTTCTTAATGTCAATATTCTTGTTTACTTCTTGACTGTTGTTTGATTAAGGTGTGCAGTTTTGTGAGGTTTTAAGCTTGTTTCACATTTGTACATCTTATTTCAATACGCCTTGGAAATTTTTCCTGTATGAATGATATCAAGTAAAAAATGTCCAGGAGAAAGTCTAACAAGTGAGAAAGCAAAAAATGTTATGCGTTTCATTTTAAAATGTTCATTGATCTGTGAAAAAATTTTTTAACTTGTAACAATTTTGGAACTTATGATTTTATAAATTGAAAAGGTCAAGGAGTTACTGGCCCCTTCTCCGATCTTTAGATAACTCTTGAGAGGTAAAGGATATCGTGAATCCGATATTGAGAAAAATAACATAGATAAAATAAGCTTGGAAATGATCTTGTTTGACAAGGGCAATTCCATCGAATCCATTCAATTTGAGAAATTATTTTAAGTTCGTTGTTTCCCTCCAATAATCGCTTGATGAGCTCCAACAAGCTTCTTCACATCTCGCCTATGTAATATTGAATCTTTGGTAATTGCTTCGATCGCTGCAGTTGCTACTGCTTCTTGTCGTCTTTGCACCATTGCATCACGATATTGCACTGTAAATGTTGTATCGTTGGAAATTTCCAAATTCCATAATCTCTATTATTGTTATATTGACATTATTAAGATTATTAGCATTATTAAATTGCTATCGAAACATTCGAAATATTGAGTTCATTATTTGTAATTACATAACACAATTGTATGTATCGTGATTTTATTGTTTTATAATATTTACTTTATGACGACTATGAGAATGCCTTTTTGATAATTAATTGATAATGAAAACTTACTTGAATGTATAACAATCAAACCACCCCATGCAACTGACCAAAACCATCCAACAAGAAGAAATGTTATCGTAAAGAATTGACTAATACCAATCAAAAAATTCAAAAATAATGTCATCAATTTACGACCTTCTTTAAAATTTATTCTTGGTTGTCCCATACACAACACACTAATTCCGCTTAAAATTGTCCCTGAATAAATAATTGTTATTTATACAGAATAAATATATGTTATTTATTCCAAAAAATAATCTATCTTAATATTTAATATTTTCCATCTAATAAATTTACCTGATCCAGGTATGATAACGTTAAAGAAGAGACATAATAGGGCAACCGGAACTGGAAGAAACGGTATAGCTTCATGCATAATTGTTATATCATTACTGGGTATTTGTATTCTATCTGTTAAACGACGATCACGAATATCGACTGCAACTTGCGCTTGCATTACAATATTAGGCATATAATACGATGAGGCAATTTGCTGCAATCCCTTCCTGGAAAAGGAGTTTAGGTCATATACAACTTATTTCATATACAACTTATTGTTGTATATGAAATTCATATACAATTTATTAATCAATCCGAACCTAGGTCCAAAAACTTACTAGAATCTATCGGGTG